TATGCGAAAAGCCGATTGTGGAACCAACAAACCGCTTGTCCGAACCAAGTCACACACTAGTTCAATGAGTGCATAAAAATCCATGCAAACGGTCGCAAATTGATGGTGAGATCAGCTTCAACGGCCTCTCTACGGACAGCTTTCAACCCATCCAGTCCGCTGACAAAAGAGCCAGGTGATGTCAGTAATCACCCAGGTAGGGCAATTGTGTTTAAGATGCTCTGACCTGCTACAGACCAACCAGTATACGAAACAGCTGGTAATTAGAAATAATGGAGCCCTTGGGAAGTATTTTGCCCAACAGAACGGTGAGGCCAAGAAACAGCGGTTGCAGGATGCTCAAAGTCGCCCGACTTGGAAATCCAACCGCACCAAGTGAATAGATCGAAGAATTCGCTGCTCGGCGGCAGCGCAAACGATTTTTCGATTGTTTCGAGTCGGAGGCCAACTCTTGTACATACTGACAGGGAACTGAGATGGTGTGGAAATAGTGCAGAAATAGTGTATATATGACACAAGTATCTCAAATGACCGATAAGTGTCAACTGGACTGCAGTAAACAGACTACCCCAACCATGAATGACTGTTCCTGGGCCCTCCTCTGACTGTTGAATGGATACGCCAGACAACTGCGGAGTAGCAAGGCAGGGAGAGTGGACATGCATATAAAACTCCTCAGGTATGGCGGTCCAACTCTGGGAAATGCATATCTTCAACTTGGTAACATGACCTGACAAGAAGAGGAAGCCATGCCAGAATTCAAGCATGCTCTATTCGTCCCACGGATAAGGAAACAAGAGTTCAACTGACAACCACAGGGGCAGCAGTCTGTCGAGATGCGTAGGCAAGTTCCCATGACGAGTGCTACTTAATTGTCTGAAGGCTGGATTGTTTGACATACACAATCCCGGAAAACAGTGTAGACTCCGCTCCGGTCCTAGCAGAATGGGCCTGATATATCTGTACGAAAGACTTGAGAAAAGCTTCCCGAACATTACCAGTCGCTCCATTCCCTCTTTATAGGCTTCACGGAGGCTTTCGACTCCCCAAACCGAGAAGCATTGTGGACAGTTCTTTTCAAGTACAGTCGACCATCATCAAGTCTACAAGGCAGAATGAAAACGAAGATGAAAACGCATGGACCAGACTAATATGATTTCGAACTGCCCACTTGCGTAACAAAGGGACGCGTTCACACCCCCGCTCCCCTCAATTTCTGTCTAACGGTCATCGTGGATACGGCTCTCTTGAACGACGATGCAAGTGTGCAGTTCGAGTATCAGCTTGATGATCGTCTGTTCAACATTGGTGCGATGAGTCTGGCCCACCAGACCAAGGTCCACATCCTCGTGTTTGCGAACGACTGTACTGTCCGAATACACACGTGATGGATTACATTGCTCGACTACGTGCAGGCCAAATTCTGCCGCACAGTTGGGCCTGCGCGAAGATTTTCGCCCTGGGTCAACCTGTCTTACGGGACTTTCGCAACACTCCTCCACGCATACAGACTGCAAAGTAGTTAATGGAACAGAATAGAGAGCAATTAGGGCCTTTGACCCAAATGTCCGCTGACACGAAGTGAATGGACCTTATCGTGGTGTGACGGTTTGTGCACCTCAGCGATCCATTGGGCTATACTGGGGAGTGTCCCCGTGACACTCACAGCTCATACCAGGTTGGTCAATGGGTTGAGGTGTGACGAATACAGTCGCCTGGCCCTCCACGTTGGAGGTTGGAACATGTAGCGACTTGTTCCCTAGAAATGGTAATGCGTTTGTATTTCCCGCCAAATACCG